TCACCTAAATGTCAATAAATTTCTGTTAAAAATTGTCTTAAAATGTCTACAGAATTTCCTGAGAAGAAGAATTGCCCTCTGAATTCATTTACTTCATTGAATGTCTTTTGACATTCTCTAATTTGGGACAAAAGTTACCACTTACAATAATAATAGCTGCTATTTATGGAACACCAGCTTTGTGCCAGGCTCTGTATTGGGTACATGTAAATATGCACTTGCTTATTTAACGCTCTCAACCACCGTTAAAGCTAGTCGTTTTGTAGTAGGAAACTAAAACATAGAGAAGTGAGCCACAGTCCTCACGCTAGTCACACACTAGTAGGTTTGGGAACAAAGAATTAACCTAATGTGTGATTCCAAAGCCCATGCTCGATACCAGGGGTTGGCAAACTACTGCCCCAAAGCAAAATCTAGCCTGTGAGCCTGTTTTTGTATGACTCTTGAGCTAAGAATTATTTTAAAATATTTAAAGGATAGTAAACAATAAAAAACAGAGGATATGTGACAGAGAGCATATATGGCCCACAAAACCTGATATATGTATTTCCTGAAACTTTACAGAAAAATTTGCCAACTCTGTTCTACATGAATATCATCTTACCACAACAAAAATAAAAATATAAAATACATTCTTAAGCCGATTCATAGTAAATGCAAATTTGTAAGCTGATTCCCATAACATTTTTATATGTTTTAATATTTTGACATTGTGCAGAATATAATCATTCATTAAAGCAAGTTTGATATTTGAGGTAAATTTCCTAGGATTTTGGTTACAGATCAATCATGGACAAATTATATTTGGCTATCATTTTATTTGAGAATGTGCTCTTCTGTGATGTAAAAGAGTGAGAAAACTGCCTGTGGATATCCCAAACTCCATCTTCCTCTTGTTTAAACTTTTCTTGATTATTTAGGTGCAATTATTACCTCGGTATTAGAACAAAGGAGAAGAGTAGAAATGAAATGTAGCAGTTCCAGATATAGATTCCTAAATTTTGCATAGCACACAATCTCAATGCTATTGGATTTGTAGAATAAAAAATAAATCAGAATAATTTTTTAAAAATCTGGATCAATTGTACAGTAACAATGACTACACAAAGACAAATTTCTAAGAAAATTATTGCTGTAATAAAGGCAAGTATCAGTTGCTTACTAGGGTAGAAAAGCCAATCTCTTCTCCTGAGAGAGAGGCAGAGGTTGACTATCACCTGATGTCACCAATAGAAACAGCTGGTGGAATTCCATGCTTGGTGGGGACCATGGCTAAAGTAGTCAGCCTTTGTACCAAAGGACACTAGCCCCCATGCTAATCCTAGAGACAGAAATAGAGTTGACAAGACTTTGATATCAACCCAATTGCATAGTGTTGACTGATGGTGTACTTTTGCTGCAAAGTAAGCCCACAATATCCACAAATCACTGATGTTTCTGAATTACATTTTAAGGAATGTAAACCTAAAACCTATTGCTAAAGATGAATAACCAGGCAGTTCAAAAGACAGGCTCTACTTTGTTTTAATTTGCATTCCATGAATGGGAAGCCATGAGGAAATTCTTCAATGAGTATCATAGCCACTGGATAGGAAATAAAGTGCTTCATTTTAACGCAAGCAAAGCCAAGTCAATTGCCTTAGATCTACGTGCTAATAAGAGACGTTGAAGAAATCATCCTCATAAACCAAATGAAGACAAACAAACAAACAAACAAAAAACTATAAGAAGAATCAGAAAATCAGCAAATCACATATTGGACACTTACCACAGTAGAGCAGTTTTTCATCTGATTTATCCTTACAATGAGGAATGCCATCACAGGTGAGCTGATAGTCAATGCATTCACCATTTCCACATTCGAACTCCAAATAAATGTTGCAGGAGGAATTTTTAGCTAAAAGAGTAAAACGATCATTTTTTTTTTGTAACAACCAAGATTTGTTGATACCATTACAATTATTTTTCTTAATTTTAATTATAAAAATAAACTAAAATTTATCTAAATATAAAATTAAATAGAGGGAAATGGCTTATGGCATTTTTTTCATTAAAAATTAAGAGGAACACATTTTGTTGTTCTTACCCTCCCTTTGTAAATGTTTTGAGAGTTGCATGGCTTTATTTTTCTTTTATGCTTATTTGTGTATTTTGCTAATTATTCAGTGACTGTGCATGTGAAGGAAAAGTGTGTCTTAAATTTGGATGACTATAGTTATGTATCTAGTCTAGCAGTCTACCTCAAAATTAAATGATAAAAAAAGAGCCAGTTAAATGAGCTCTGTAAATAATGAAAATGTTTTTGTGTTTTCTATGGGAATCTATCACATGTTTTTTAATATATTGAAAATTTTCAGTAGATATCATACCCATTTTTGAATGCTTGATGTGAAATCATCTCAGTTGAATGAATGGTCCCAAATTTTCCCCACCTCCTACTTGGTCTTTGTCCCCCACTACCTTCTAATAGAGCCTCAGCAGCAAGTTCCATAATTCACGAGTACTGGAATTGCTAAAATCACCCTCATCAGCCTCCTGTTCTATCTATGTGTGGGAGGTACCACAGAGCAGACCCTGTCTTCCTGCCACATATGGCCAGCACCTACTCCTTGAAATGTGCCGGATCTGTGGGATGAGCCGCTGGAGGACAATGGAAGCACGTGCAACTGAGTCCAGGGACTTCAACTGACCACTGGCATGTTGTCTCATATCTAAATCTCAGGATTTTCATAAGAAATTAAAAGTTTGAGTCTTTTATGTGGTTTGTCCTAACTTTTAAGCACAAACATCGTCAAGTATGAAAAAGAATCCTTTCTATAGCTAGGTTTTATCCCGGGAAAGCCAGTACATAATCACTGTTTTGAAGGATCTCTTTTGAGGAAAATCGACTTATTTTTATTCTTAAATAATAGATTTACTAGCACTTATGGAATCCAATTTTTTGGGTGTGCTGTCTGCTCGCATATACTCACTCCATTGCTTGTCAAATAGTTGTACATAGAAATCTAATTGTGTTAATTATGTCGGAGGTAAATAGAATTCATTTATCTCTGCTAATATGAGAAAAATACCTTAATTTTATAATTTACTATCAATTATTTGAACTTTATTTCATGAATATTCAATTAAACAGCCACTAACATTATTTGAAGTTTCCACTATTTTATTTCTTTATTATTCCTAGAATTTAATTTTAACAGGATGTCTCTATATGTATATGTGTATGTATCTAAGACTTCTAATTTAATTCTTTCAATGATAGCAACACTTTCCAAAGGTTTTTTTTTTTCTTTTTTTTTGGTGCAACCTAAACTTGACTGGTCAATCAGGAGCTAATTTAGAACGTTATTTTAGAGAAAATAACAAAAAAATTTAAAACCTAGAAGTATTAATAAATTTAAAGGTAAAAGTATTGTTAAATAAAAAGGGTACTAATATTACTGGGTATAATTACCTTAGATCATGAACTGAACAAAATTCAGCCACTTACTGAAAGTCTACTGACATTCCCGACTTATTTGTCTATTTTAAGCACGTCCTATTTATAAAAATAAAAAATAAAAAACTAATTGTTAAGATGGAAAATTCTGTAGTTAGTGTTTTATATTCATAATGTCTTTGAGGGCAAGAACAAAATTGTTCACAGATAAGTATGTTTTTATATTTAGCAAAAGCTAATATTGTATGAGCACAATTCTTATTCAGGCATGTTCATTTGATGAAATAGTAATAAATCATGTTCTTTTGATAAAATATTATTAAAGTGCTTTCTCTTCTTTCTAGAAATGATGGTTCATCTGTCCTCTCATTCTCTTACATGACAATTACTTTACCTAATTATATTTGCTATTCCTATTTCTATCATGGATGTCAATAAGGCTAGTAGCATTGTGAGGAATGGAACTGCCTAATCTTTTTGTCAACAGTTATGACAACAAATGATTTTTCCCTCCTTTGCCCTGAGGTAGGTGTTAGTAAATGGCCTTTCACCTCTGTAATGCTTCCATTAATATTCATGAACAGCTCTGGGTGAAATCATTCAGATGTGGACATAGATATGCCAGAAACATTCTCATTTCCCAAAGATGGATTTGACAAGGAGAAGCCAAGAGTTACTTTCCAATCTCTCTGCTGGACAAGAGGATTTCAATACCAATGCACAATGCATACAGTCTGCCTCTATCACAGTTTGTCAGCTCTGAGGAATTTAATATCACTCTATAGTTTCATATGAATAAAATTGTACTTATTTAAAAAGATAGTTTTCTGTCTGATTCATTCTCTCTCATCAGTAAAGAGAAGCAGTTGGTTTAGTAGGGACAGTTGTATCTAATCTATTTTTCAGCAAGGACAGGCCTCTACTGTATGCAAATAAGCCTTGCTGTTTTGACTAAAGGCATTGCTTTACTACTGGCCTGCAGTGACCTATGAAAGAAACATGAGTGATTCTAATGCATGGCTAACACTCCAGGCTTACAGATGGCACCAGATCCAGACCATTACAGCTGAAACCACAAAGGCAAACTAAAAGAGAGAGTTTAAGCAATTGCCTGAGCAATTCAAAGAAGTATTAAGTGACAAAGAAATATGGGAATTTGTGGCCCGGATTATTGAAATCGGCTATCTGCATTTAAAATTCTGATCAATTGCATCATTATCTCATTTGCTTTGGCACGGTCTTAAATAAAACAACATTTACCCAGTTTGCTAAGAGGTGCACTTTTGGGTTTTGGTATCAATTTGCAAAGTAAGAAGATATGTATATGCTATTGTATTAGGTGCAATATTTTTCAAGACAAAGAAAATTATATCTAAGCATTTGTATTCAGTTAAAGATCAGGTAAAAGAGAAGATATTCCTGGTGCATAAAAACTAAAAGAAGACTGAAGATGAAGATGAGAAATACTATTATTATACCCCACTCAGCTAATTCTCTAGGATGAAAAGATGTAAGATGAGGATAGAAAAAAATTGTGAAAAATTGACATATCCTAACAGCGAGTTCACCAATTTCCATCAGGATACATTTCTCGCACCTTTCTTACATACGGATTGTCTTAATGTTAAATGGAAATTAACCTTTTTATATTGCTTGCTATTTTTCACGGCAGTATTGGAACACTTGAACATTTTTTTGTTTTGGAAACAGTTTTGGAAACTTAGTTGTTAATAAGTGTATATTGTAATGGTACTAATTAAAGATTGTAATGCCTTTGGGAGATATAAACATCATGCAAGGCTGCAATGTTACATTCTTAATTAACAGTTTGGAAATGATTACAAATAAGCTGCATGAGCCATTCTCTCTCATTTACATACTGTGATGGACTGTGAGTGGTTTTACTGCAAGGCTACTGACATATTGCCTGTATACAAGTTTATTTCAGCTTCAATTAATTTTGCTATTGACTGAATTCACAAAGTCATGACTGGAAGTTTTCAAACAATCATTGTGTGCAGATACTCCTCTAGCTAGCCCAATACCTTCCAGTCCCCAACCAGGGAGGTACAACATTTGTGACCATTTTGGTTATTATTTAGCACATGGTGCTGTAACTCAGTAGAATTGTGAACTGAGTTCTTGTTCGAACAGAGAGATAAAGCAACCAAGCTTCTAATACTGGTGAAGAATTCAACTTCATGAATATACTAAAACAATTTCAGTGTACGTATGTGGCAATTTGAGCACATAAGGTACGTTAAAGTTCAATTCTCTTTACTTACTCACACATCTGTTGTCATCTAGCAATATTCGGTCCCCTCTGCAAGAACAATTCACTCTCCCATTGGGAGTTAAAAGGCACAGGTCATGGCAACCTCCATTCAATAATGCACATGGAGAAAGTTCACCTGCAATGAACAGGCTTTATGGGTAACATTTTATATTGAATTTCTATTCTATGTTAGATATACATAAATAGTAAACTGTTAGACTGTCTCAATCTCTCAACAACATCTCATAAATAAGAAACATTCAGGGCTTTTGAAAACCTAAGCATTCCTAAAGATAAATACATTAGAAAAATATGTAGCATTAGTCACCACATCTTTTTTAAATTTTATTTTATTTTATTTTATTTCAGAATATTATGGGGCTCCAAATGCTTTGGTTACATGGATTGCTTTTATACTGCTTGACTCAAAGTTATAAGTATGCCCATCAACCAGCTAATGTACATTGTACCTGTTAGGTGTGATTTTATCCATTCCCCTCCTCCCCCCTCCCACATGTATGATTTCTGTTAAGTTTTACTTCCATCTGTGCACATGAGTGCTGATCAGTTAGTTCCAATCTAATAGTGAGTACATGTGGTATTTGTTTTTCCATTCTTGTGATACTTCACTTAGGAGAATGGTAACCAGTTCCATTTAGATTGTTGCAAAAGGTATTAACTCATTCTTTTTATGGCTGAGTGGTACTCCACAGTATACATATACCACAATTTCTTAATCCACTCATGAGTTGTTGGGAACTTGGGTTGATTCCACATCTTTGCAATTGTGAATTGTGCTGCAATAAACATTCTAGTGTAAGTGTCTTTTTGATAAAATAACTTTTTTTCCTTTGGGTAAATACCCAGTAGTGGGACTGCTGGATCAAATGTTAGGTTTACTTTTAGTTCTTTGAGGAATCTTCATACTATTTTCCATAGAGGCTGCATTCCTTTTCAGTCCCACCAACAGTGTATAAGTATTCCTTTCTCCCTGTATCCATCCCAGCACCTATTGTCACCACATCTTTTTAACATTCCTGTCAAGGATACCATGGCATCAAATGAACTAGTTCTGCTAAAAACCATATTGATAATGCAAACTGAAATTTTGTAGATATTTCAGTGATTAAAAACTTTTTAAGTCCACATGCAAAGCTTATTAATCAAGTATCATTTTCATAGAAACAATTTGACTTAAATGCTCAAAGATATGAATAGTAAGAGTAGAATAGGATTTTTGAAACAAATAATTAAAAATAAATTATCTCCATAACTGTACATTAAGCAGTATAGAATTTGCTTTAAACATTTCAAATAATCTTTTTCTTTCATTCTTTTTAACTCTTCTTTTTTATTTTCTTTTTTTTTTTTTAGATTGGGTCTTGCTCTGTCACTCAGGCTGGAGTGCAGTAGCACAATTATAGCTCATTGCAGCCTGGAACTTCTGGGCTCAAGTATCCTGCCACCTCTGCTTCCAAGTTGCTGGGACTATAAGGGTGAGCCACCACACTGGGCAATCAGTTTCAATATACTGAATGATCAAATCCTGAAGACTATCCAAAGAACTATATGAAAACAAAATCCACATATCATAGTACAACAAAGGAAAAAAAGAAGAAAACATGTAATTTTTTTTAAAAAAAAGAAAACAAAATCCAACTAAATATTTCTAGAGAACATAAATATATTTGTTGAGAGATCAGAGAGTATAAAATTGGAAACTAAATTGGCTTTCTATTGTAACTTACAGCTATTGGTGTCATTGGCAACAGCTATGATTCCCATTGGTTGATGTGGAATATCAGAACGAAGGATTTTTGTGTCTCCTCCTGTGTACTTGTTGGAACGCAGGATAGCTCTTCTTCCCCAGTCTGACCAGAAGATATAATTGTCATAAACAGCCAGACTGAGGAAAGTCCCTGGCCCAGACTTGACAATCACCTGCAATAAATTAAAATATCATATTTTCACAATGAAGAGCCTAATATTTATATAATCCACATCCATTTTTGCTTAAAAAAATAAATTGGATTTAGATTTATCATCAGATAAAAATAACATTTTACTGAATGAATTATCATAATATGCTTTATATTTTATTTAAAATGTTGCTATCATGTTTGGTGTTTGTAAGATATTTAGGTAATATTTTAAACACATTTCTTTAATCATTTGATTTGTATAAACAACCATATTGTTTGAGCATTATAACTAAAAATCACCAAATTAAAAATATGAGATCAATTAAAATCACTAACAAACATTTATTAGTCATTATTAGGAAATCACCAGATATATTGTGAACACTCATCAAGTTCTCAGAACTATATATGGAATATAAAGAACCTTAAATCCAAGTTCCTCCTTTAGGAGGCTTACAGTATGAGTGAATCAACCAGATGTACATGTCTGACAAAAGAAGTTTAAAAGTAAAGACCACATTTTCATGCAGATCAAGATAGAGTAAAAGAGACCTGATTTACCTTCCCACCTAAATTAGAAGGCAACAAAGTATGTGAAATAAGACTGTGCAACTCATTGCACACCAAGTAATGGAGGACAGTGATTCCTGAGTAACAGGAAATACAGGGTGCATTCCATCATGGCCACGATTTACCAGAGATTACAGGGGATAGCACAAAACAGAAGAACCCAACCAGAGTCCAGAAAACTCCGTGAGGGAAAATTATGGAAAGTAACAGTTATGGGAGAGCAACGTGGCTTGATCTCACAGGATGGAGTGTTGAGAGAAGAAAGTCCAAAACAGAGAGAACTGTGGATATCTGCAGAGGGTCCTCCTGGAGCATTCAGTCAAGTACTGATAAGGCACACATATGCATGTGAGGCAACTCCTCTAGGTTGGGGAAAGAGCCAATGGAAAAGATTAGAGAAAAGAGTCCCAAAGTTCCCATGGGTCCAAGAATCATATCTATTAATATCAACCAGACTCAAAACCTTCTCATTCATGGGACTCTGAGTAGAATTCTTAGAAGGGTCTTGCCTTAGCAGTGGAGATTTATTAACCCAAGACTAAACTCTGCTCTAGTTCTGTGTAATAGACTTTAGAAGCAAAACCTAAAAGGATCAAACCATTTCCAAGTAGCTTAACTATGTCCAAGAGAAAAGTTCAAGAATTTTTCTGGAAATATGAAAATTTATACCAATAAACTATTATGCAAGAAAAGATGGAAAAGGAAGAAAATTCTGAAATCAATAACTTCTGCTTCCACCTTAAGAAACTAGAAGAAAAGTAAATTAAATAAACATAGGAGAAAACTAAAGGTAAGAATGGAAATTAAAGAAATAGAAAACAGAAAAAAAATAGAGAAAAACCAATAAAACTAAAAACTCATTTCTTGTGATCAATAAAATGAATAATACATCATGATGAAGTTGGGTTTATCCCAGGAATACAACTTGATTCCATACAAAAAATTAATCAGTATAATTTATGATAACAGACTAAATAAGAAAACTCATATGAATATCTTAATAAGTGCAGAAAATTACTTGATAAGATATAATATCCATTCCTGACAAAAACCCAGAATAGAATTATAAATAGAAATAAAACCAGGCACAAGAGAAGGATGATTACTCTCACTACTTGTACTCAACATTCTTCTGTAGTTTCTAACCAATATAATAAGGCAAGAAAAAGGAAAAAGAAAATCTATATTGGGGAATAAAAAAGTCAAATTATATTTATTTGGAGATGACAAAATCCTCTACATAAAAAATCCAACAGAATCTACCAAAAAAGGAGCTTCTAGAAGACATAAATAAATTTAGTAAGGTTGAAAGATATCAGACTGCAATACTCAATTGTATTTCTATATAGTGGCAATAAGCCATTGGAAATTGAAATTAAAAAACTATTTATAATAGCATCAAAAAATATCAACTATTTAGAGATAAATATGAAAAAATATGTATAAGAACCTAAAGACTATAAAAATGCTAAGAGAAATTAACAAAAACATAAATAAGTATACACTATTCATGGTTTCCAAGATTCAATACTGTTAAAATGTCATTTCTCCTCAAATTGATACATTATATGTAAACTCAATAAAAACCCATCAAACATTTTGTAGAAATTGACAAGCTAATTTCAAAATTCATCTGGAAATACAAAAGACTTAGAATAGCAAAAAAAAAAAAAACAACATTGAAGGACTAACACTACCTTATTTCAATACAATATAAAATGACAGGTATAAAGAAAGTGTGATATTGGCAAAAGATAGACAAATACAGCAATAAAACAGAAGAGAATTTACAAACCAGACCCATATATTTACAGATAACTAATTTTTGACAAAAGAACAAAGGCTATTCAAAGAAATAAGATAATTTTTAAACAAATGGCACTTGAAAAACTAAATATTCATATGCAAAAAAGGAACTCCTGTCCATATCTCACAACATATACAAAAATTAACTGAAATTAGATCATAAAGACAATATAAAATTTAAAACTATAAAACTTCTAGAGGAAAACATAGGAGAAAATCTTTATGGCTTTGGATTAGCAAAGATTTTCAGATACAACATCAAAACCATGATTCATTAAAACAATGATAAAGTGAATTTCATCAAAATTTAAGATTTCTGCTTTTCAAATGACACTGGTAAGAAAATGAAAAGGTAAGCCACAAGCTATGAAAAAAATTGCAAATCATAGTTCTAACAAAAGACTTATGCCCAGAATATAAAAAGAACTCTCAAAACGCATTTATAAAATGAACGAGCAAACAAATAACCCTATTAAAGAACAAACAAATTTCTGAAAAGACACTTTACTAAGGAAGATATATGCATGGCACATAAGCACATTAGTATGAAAGATGATCAATATCATGAGATACTAGAGATGTTCTTGTTAAAATCACAAGGTATCACAACACAGCTCTAAGAATGGGTAAATCTAAAATGATTGACCATACCAAGCGATGGCAAGGATGTAGAGAAACTTGTAGAAATGTAAAATGGTACCAACAATTTAGGAAAAAGGCACATTTTCTCAACAAGTTAAAAACATACAGCTAGTGTATGATCTACCCTTCTACTCTTAGGTACTCATTTACCCAAGGAAATTAAAGCATATTTAACTAGGATTTGTACATCATTGTTCATAGCAGCTTTATTTGTAATAGATACAAACTTGAAAACACTCAATTGTCCATGTACAGGTGAATGCATAAACAAAATGCATATAACCCACATGACACAGGTTCCCTTTCTTGGGCAAACTCTAGCCAGGCTCCTCTGAACTCTTTTTTAACTAGGCTCTGTCCTTGGTCATGTCCTCAATAGTACAATTTTTGCAAAATTTCTAATTCAGTTTAGCTTTAATTCTTGATATCTGGCCACTCATCATATCTGACAAAATTCCTCATCCCTCACTATCCCCCAGTGAAGTCTGATCATCCTGGCTTGCTTCCAGCAAGAATCCCATAGGGTCAGTTTAGTCAGAATCCCCCCTTATCCATGAAATTTTCTCTTACTAATTTTTCATGTACTGATTCAACACTCTGCCCCTAAATTATAAATTCCTTCTTTTCCTGTTGTATTTGGAGTTGAGCTCAGTAGCTCTCCCCTACTGCAAAAGTCCATTGTCGTAGTTCCTATACCTCTCTTGCAATAGTCCTGAATAAAGTCTGCCTTGCTATTTTAATGAGTGTGAATATTTTTTCTTCAACATGCACAATGGAATACTACTGAAAAACAACAACAACAAAAATGAGATGTGCTATTAATGTGTATAACAACTTGGATGGATTTCAAAATAATTATGCTGAGCGAAAGAAGCCAGACAAAAGGGAATAAGCACTATATGGTGACATTCATTTAAACTTCTAGAAAGTGCAAACTAATCTATAGTGACAAACAAAAAAATAATGTTTCCTGGGGATAGAATATGGGAGAGGCAAGGTGGAAAGAGAAGAATTAAAAGGGAAGTGAAGAAACTTGTGGGGTCATAGGTATGCTCATTATTTTCATTGTGATCATTATCACAGATGTGGGTGTGTATAAAAACTTTTAAAATGTAAATATGTGCAATTTAGTGTGTGTCAATTATATTTTATTTTAAAAAATAAAGGTCAGAAATTTTTCTAAAATATTTTCAGTAGGAATTCTAAATATATATGACTGCAACTAGGTTTGGAAGAAAAGGATATACCAGAAAATTAATGTATTTATACTCAAGTTATTTTATTTAACTTTTGTTTCTAAACCTAAACCTAAGTAGCTTAGTCAAATAGTTCCTCTCAACTTTTTATTATAGAAAATTAGGAAATGAATAGGACGATAGTTTAAATTTGAGAATACCCCTGTTAGTTGAATAAAGAGGTCAGATATCTGGAAGACAGAAACTGATACAAATTTACTCCAGTAAAGAAAAGGCAAGGCATGATTAAGGAATGGAGTAGAAGATATACAAAAGAAGGAAAGGAAAAACCAGATCTATAATCTTCAAAGAAATCAAAGAAATCTACAAGAATTTGCCTTCATGGCATCGGAAAATTCCAGGGACATGTTTAAAGGCATTGATGTAATTTGCTATTTTATTTTCTTTGATTTTATTTAGAAGAAACCTGTGCCTTCCTACTGTGGACAAATTACATGAATGAGGATATTGCAGCATACTTAGAATGAGGAAACGGGCCTTTGCCTTAGCAACTTCTCAGTCAAGAGGGCCTTCATTTTTTAAAATAA